CCTGTAATCCTAGCCCTTTGAGAGGCCAAGGTGAGTGGATGGCCTGAGCTCAGGAGTTGGAGACCAGCCTGGGCAACATGGTGAAACCCCATCTCTACTAAAACACAAAAAATTAGCCAGGTATATTGGGTGCCTGTAGTCCCAGCTACTTGGGAGGCTGACGCACAAGAATTGCTTGAACCCAGGAGGTGGAGGTTGCAGTGAGCCATGATCACGCCACTGTATTCCAGCCTGGTGACAGAGCAAGACTCTATCTCCAAAATAAATAAATAAATAAATAAATAAATAGATAAATAAATAAATAAATAAAATTACCCAGTCTTAAGTAGTTCTTTATAACAATGCAAGAATGGACTAATACACAGATAGTAACTTTTCCCACCTATTTTTCCAAAAACTGCTCCTGTTCTCAGTCAGTCCTTTCCCAAACTGGAGCCTCCCTATAGCACAACCTGTAACAATTAGGGACTCACTTGGAAGTTTATTGGTGGAAGCACAGAAGCACCTTGTTGGAAATACCATTTTACCTCTCCCATGGTCACTCGGCTCACAGTGGGAAAGGAGCATTATAAGAGGTGGTAGCAAGTACAAGTACACGCATGCCAGGAAGAGCATGTTTTGCCTAGGTGTCAGGGTCCCAAGAAGTGCTCTCCTAGGGAACTGGCTACAGGAACTTGTAGAAGGTGCTCATCCGGATCCTCCTGTTCCCAGAGGCTGTGGCTCAAGACAGCTCTCATGGGTATATTCAAATTGATTGGAGATGCCACTGGTGAGGGTATCTTGTAGCTGCTGCGGTTGTCTATTTCAATGGCAGTGTCATTGTTCCTGTTGGAGCCCAGGGAATTTTGGGGTTATTGAAAGCAATAGAAGAAAATGAAAACATTGTTAAAATTTAACTTAAAAACCACTTTTGGCTGCGTGCAGTGGCTCATGCCTGTAATCCTAGCACTTTTGGAGGCTGAGGTGGGCGGATCACTTGAGGTCAGGAGTTCGAGACCAGCCTGGCCAATATAGTGAAACCCCGTCTGTACTAAAAATACAAAAATTAGCTGGGCATGGTGGCACACGCCTGTAATTCCAGCTACTCAGGAGGCTGAGGCATGGGAATTGCTTGAACCCAGGAGGTGGAGCTTGCAGTGAGCCGAGATGGCACCACTGCACTCCAGTCTGCGTGACAGAGTGAGACTCCTTCTCAAACAAAACAAAACAAAACAAAAAAACTCTCTTTCTAGTTATGCCTTTTCCCAGGGCCAGTGCTTTAAGCACATGTATGGAAATGCGGGGCACAATATGCATATATGGAACAATGTTAAAGGCAACCCAAGGAGAGGAAGCCACACGGGAGGAGGAGGAGGGAGCCTGGAGCTAAGGCCTGCTCTGCTGGAGGAACAAACAACTCTTCAGACCTTAAGTACTACTTTGATGTGTTGAGGATATAACGTATTATGACCCAAAGACAAAATCCCAGGGACCAAAAATTTAAGATCAGAGAAGTGAGAGTGAGCTGGGGGGCCTGAGGGATTACCAGTCTTGGTAACCAAGGGCTTGGGTTGTCACATGGGGAGAGAGTCCTTTGTAAAGAGCTGCTGGCTCCTTCTCCTCAAGCTGAAAGAGAGAGCCTTCCTGGGTCAACCCAGGGAGCTTGAGCTGTGGCTCCTGGGCTCTGGGAGAAGAGTTGTTTCTGTGCCTAGGAAGCAAGGTCCTCCTCTCCAGTGGCTGGTCAAAATATGAGAGGATGTTTCCTGAGGGTCAGATGTGGGCTGTATGAGAGAGAGAGAGAGAGAGAGAGAGAGCACGTGCACACCAGCCTGGAGCCACTGTAAGCCCTACCCAAGAGGACTCCTTAAAGGGGTGAGGGGATAGCTAATGCCTAGG